CTCCGAGGGGGGTGTAGTGTGGGGGGGGGGACTCTAATTGTATTGGTTTGGGATTGGGTTTGCTATGGTTCGGTTTTCACTTTTTGGAAAAAATGGATGCGATGGACGGGGAGCCCAGGAGGGGAGGGAAGCGGCCGCGCTGCGAACAGCCCCGCGTAGGGCTGTGCAGATACAGACGGACAGACAGAGACGCAGACGGACAGACAGACACACGGCCGGGCCCGATCCCCCATCCCGCCGCCCGCGGGGCCCCGCTGGGGGCCGTGACCCGGGCAGCGGCCGCCGGAGCCGCGCAGCCCCGCAGCGGGCGGAACGCTTTCCGCGGGGCTCCCCGAGCGAACGCGGGCTGCAACAGCGGCAGCCCCGCCAGGGACCGGCAGTGGCTTCTCGTGCGCTTAGCGTCACACGGTGCCGGGATCGCCGACACTTCAGCTCGGAGGCCGGCGGCTCGCCGCCTCTTGACGTGAACGCGAACGGTTCCCGCTGGGGAAACGGCCACCGTCTCCCTCTGCGTTTCGGTTTGCGGGAGTTTAAAGCGGTGCGTGGGGAGCAGCGCCGTGCGGGACGCAGGACAGGCCCCAGTGAGCCTGCGGCCGAGCCTGGCACTGCTCCCATGGACAGCACGGCGGTTCGTCCCGCTATCAGAGTGGGACATCCTCTTGTCCACGAGCAATCTCTCGATGTTTGTTTATTATCTGCGTTTGATATTTGTTTATTATCTGCATTATTGGAACCATTTATTGCCGTGTCTTGAACGCTGCCATGTTTTGCACGAGTGTTTACGCTGTTTTTCATTTATTTTCTCGAGTTTGGCACGGGGAGCTCTATTCTTGTGCTCTAATTAAGGGGGGTGATTTAAGTGCTGTTTGGGAGGCACAAGTATTAAAGTGAGATAAATAACGCCGCCTCCCCCGCAAAGTTTGGGTCGGGGTCACAGATCCAAAAGGGCTCAGTGGGAGCTGCAGGCAGCGCACATCGGAACCAAAGCAGAAAACTCCAATGAAACCACAGTCAGTTCTTTTCGTAATCGCTGTTCCGTTCCCTGGCAGCTCATGTTTAATTAAAACCTTGATTTTAAACAGAAATAAATGCCGTGAAATTCAGACGCCTCTTAAGTCAGCAGTGTTTCTTAGCGATAATTAGACAACGTCTCGATTACGTGTAGACATTTGTCAAGGCATTTCTCAGCACATTTGTTGTCCTTCTATAACTATCTCTGCATTTTGACCATTGCTAATAAATTCTCACAGAGGAGCATGCTTCTCACTGCATCCCTGCATTCTGACCCATGTGCTTATCTGAAACCCTCTGATTTTTCCTCGCACGGTGCTCCCGGACAGCAGCACAAAGGTTGACCCTTTCGTCTTCTTCCTTTTAGATCTTGGATGAGTTTTGCAATGTGAAGTTCTGCGTAGACGCCAGCCAACCAGATGTAGGAAACTGGCTCAAATACATCAAGTTTGCTGGATGCTACGATCAGCACAACCTTGTTGCATGTCAGATAAGTGATCAGGTATGTGGCGTTCACTTTCTGGACTTACATTTTAAGGAACTTTAAGGTGTCATGGGGAAAAAAAAAAAAAAAAAAAGCAACAATTCACAACAGATTTTGGCCTGTTTGTTGTTACAGCAGAAGATAAGGCACAGATGTGAAATGCAGAATAGAGTAATTTTGATTCTGGGCTGCGGATTATATGAATTTTCCTATTTTTCCACACTTTTCAATTCATATTCTTCATTATTATTATTATTATTATTACTGCTGTTATTAATCTTGTGTCTGATAAAAACGGAGACTGCTTTCTGAGGAGCACAGAGCCATTATTTGCTGATTTGGGATTAGAGGCATTTTCTGGTTCCCATCCCACCCCAGCTGCATTGCTGTATGAAACTGTTGCATTAAGCAGAAACCTCAGTGTGCAATTAATGGCAGAGTGGAGGTGAAGATGCAGAGCTGGTAATCCCACCCGTACAGCTGCACGCGTGGGGCTCTGCCTTTGAATGCACACGTGCACAAATATTATTATGCCTTCCCGAACGCTTTGCTACTTGTGTGCTGAGCCGGGATCGCCGATGCTTCGCTGTCTCTTTTTGTTTGGCGCGCTGAAATCCACTCTTTGTTAGGCTGAAGTGTTACTTCTGCTGTGTGTTGGAGAGGCTGGGACAGGGAGGAAGGACGCAGCGTCGCATTTTGTTTTCAATTACGCTGATGAGTTATTAGGTGTTCCCTCAGTGAGGCTCTGCTTTGGTCTGTGGAAAACGTGCGCCGCTGTGAAATGTTTCCATGGGTGAAGTCAGGTTGAGGGAGCCGTGCTTTAAGAAAGTGAAATACAGACGATAGCAAAGCACCAACTGATGGGGCATTCTTGTTGCACGTCCAAACTTCGATACCTGCGATGCAGCGTTCGATGCCTTCAATCGGCGTTTCGTTTCTCACCGCTTAATTAGCCGCATCAGGTGAATGTTAAAGATTATCTTCAGCTGGCTTAATTGCCCTGACAGTATTGAAAGAAGAATCACAACCGGGCACGAAGCTTCCATTAGAAATCACTCTTTCCAATCAAATTCCTTACGTGAAGGAAATGGATGGGAGGCAGCCTGCTCCTTCAGCCCCCAGCGCGGCGCACTTCGCTCCTACACATCGCTGATTGGAACCGCTGCCCATTAGCTTCAGCAGGAGCTGTAACAGAGGATTGTTTTAATTTTCAACTTTGAGAATTCAGCCCGGAGCACACATAGCACGGAACGACCCAGCCGGCCGAGATAGCATTTGTTTTTATATAGCAGCTGGTTTAGCTAAAGAAACCATAAAGATTATTAGTAAATGAAAAATGCATTTTGTGAGTTGAAATTATGTTTTACGTGGAAAACCGATAAATTCTCTCAACGCAAAGCATTTATGGAGCAGTGATACGAAAAGGAAACGATCCGGGCTAATTGGAACAGCAAATTCAGACGTTTCATAATGAGAGCTGGCAGAAATAGGTGAGGGCAGGGAGGGAATCACGTGAATTGGTCCGAGCGACTCACGGCGTTTGCGTCGGCAGTGGTGCTCTGCGATGGGAAATATGTGCTGGGCTGGAACAGCAGCATCTGCCTGGAGCTGCAGCCACGCACCAGCGCTGGGACGCTGCTGGAATGAGAATTATGGTGCTTGTAACTTTCTCTTTTTTAGTGTTTACATTTCTGAGATTTGGTAATGGTGGCTGTACTGCTGCCAATAATTTCTTTCATTCACTGGAGACTTGTTATTTATTTTGCACGGTGCCGTGCCGTTCATAATTCTATATTTTTATGGCATATTGTTGCTGAGAATTGGAAATTAAAAATGAGTCGTCGTTCAAGTAGCTCTCTGTGAGCTGCACGCTGTCAGCAGCAGATTGTTGCCCATTTGACCCTCTGGAAACGTTGCACATTCACCCACAGAATTGTACATGTACTCCAGCGTTTTATGGCCAGGACCTAAAAAGTTAATGCTAAAAATGTGCTCTCGAATCTCAAACCAAAAAAAGCTTTTCTAGCAGCTCCTCCTTCTGCTTTCCTCTGGCACGAGCTCACGAGAGGTAATATAAAATATAATAGGGAGGCAAACTGGGGAATGGACGTTACATGACCAGACGCAGCCATGTAGAAATAGTGACAAATGCAAGTCAAAGCATTGCGCTGTGTCAGTCTGCTCCTGAAGCTCCTAGGCAGAAAACAGCAGGGTAAAGCAGAGAGCATGCACAGTGCTTGCAGCTCAAGCCAGAGCATCGCAGGAGCAACGCAGCCCCAGAAGTGTAGGGTGTGGGCCAAGCTGGGGTGCAGCCTACGTCCCCCTGTCCCCACATCCCTGGGGGCAGCTCTTTGGCACCCCACACAGCACCCGGAGCATCCCCTCTGCAGAAGCCCTCCTGCACTCCCGAGGCACAGACACTTGATCAGCAGTAATTGTTCTCCTCTAATTGCTTCAACTCATCTGTAAAATTCGCAAGCAAACATTGTGCCGTACCTGAAAAGGTACGAGATCCTGCCAGCACTCGGCCTCACGCTGGCCGCAAGTTCATGCTACTAAATTCAAGCCTGAGTGACAGGCAGGTATGATTCCCAGACTGCTTGAGGCAGGATTTCGGTGCAGCTCAGCTCGATGTGTAATCTGGTCGCTCTGCTAAGCTGCACCTTCTGCATTTCACAAAAAGAGTGAAAGAAAAACATTTTTTTGTTGTTTCCTCGAGCAGACTTTTTTTCAGAGGCATACCACCCCGCCCCCCGACTCATGTTTGAGGTTAAGTTTCATCACTTGGGATCAGCTTTACAAAAGGCCTGGGCTCTTTTAGGGCTGTAGAAATGGGCTTTGCTGAGATGAACAGCTCGATAATGGTGGGATGCAGTCAAAACATGCACGCGGGATGCAACTCGTATTTCATTTGATTGGAGGTGGAGGAGGGTTTAAAAGCTGCATTTTTATTTTTGATTTTTTTTTTTCAAACCAAGTTGATCTAGGATTTCTCTTTGCTGTCTTCCTATTATCTCCTGTCATACCCAATCTAACCTGATTGTGTGTAATTCAAGATGTGTATGAATAATAAAATTCCACAAACAGCACACTCTCATTTTTTCCTTTTCCCCAAAGACACTGCAGTGTGTGCAGAGCTGCAAAGTCTTGTCACTATTATTTGCTCGGAGTGTGTTTTTTCAGCTCAAAGTCAGGAGTCAATAGCAGTTTCTGCTAACTTAGACAAGTCCCCTCTGTTATCTATCAGTAAATATCTATTAGTTCCACTTTTTACTGATTTCAGAACGATTAGCCCCGGTAGACTTTCTGGCAGTGCTGTCATCCCAGCAGAAGCATTATTTTTAAATATACATGTTAATGAAAGTGTGGTGGAAAATACAGTAACTATAGCGATGGTGTGTCAGGGACTGTGAAGAGTCCCAAGCACATTTTGAAGCTGGGATCACAGTCACCTTTAAGCTGGAATTTTTTTTCTTTCTTTCTTCCTTTCTTTCTTTAGATTTGTTTATTTTTGTTGTTGTTTGCGTAGGGAAATATTGGTTGCACTTTGAATTAGAGCTCGTGAAATTGTGTCTGTCTTGCTTATTGCTTGCAGACCTGTGACAGTGATGTGGCCACATAATGCTGTAAAAGTGCATTGAGCTTCCAGGTCTCCTGGAAGATTCCTGTTGGTTTATCTATGGAAAGCTGCACGTGGCTCACAGTCAGCTTGCTGAGGTTTTGGTTTGCTGCGTGAGCTGAAATAGGAGGTTTTTTGTTGGTTTGTTTTTATGTGTGCTCTTTTCCCATATACTCGAGCATATGCCCCTGCAGTGGGAGAAATAACAGTAGAATAACACTCTTAACAATGCGCGCAGTGTCAGCGATACAATCGGAGGTGAGTGAACCTACTGCTGTAGGTTGCACCAGATCCGATCCCTCTTACAAGTTTTACAAACTTTTGCAATCTGCAGGCACAGCCTCATGTTTCAGGTTTTACTGCCTCTGCCCCCCCGGCACGGCGTGCAGCTCCCAGGCAGAGAAACACGGAGACTCGTCCAGCAGCCCCAGACACACACAGCCACCTGCAAAAGTTGTGTATTTAACGAATAGTTTTGAGGCTTTGTTGTCAGAGAGTGAAATTAAGGTTTTGGCTGTTATGGGTCAGGAGGGCATGTGTGCGCTGAGCTCATGCGGGGCCCTATTCTGTCATTATTCCTCCTACGAGTTATTAGTTTATTAAGCAAATAAAGCTTAATCCAGCTCCCACTGAAAACCTGTTTCCAGTGGAGCGAGGTCGTGCTAGCATGGGGCTGGTGGAACCAGGAGCTCATCGGCTGCGGTTTTCCATTTGTGGCAATTAGAGGTGATGCTGTGCTGAGCCTCCTGCCCAGTGCCTGACTTGTTGCAGCCCAGTGCTGCCAGCATCCTGCCTGAGCTTCAGCCTGTCCTGACGTGACCTGCAAGGAACTGCTCAGCACCAAACCGGCAGCTAATTGTCGCCTCTCTGCAAGGCGATAAGCTCTTCATTGACGATTAATAAAAGCAGAAGAGCGTGCTGTCTGCAAGCAGGAACGCCGTTTGGTGATGAGAGCTGTCAAGTCCCACTTGCACGGCGGGGTTCAGAGGTTTGTAGATGCTTGCAGGGACAGTGGGACAGTTGCTCACTGAGTGGCGTTCAGCAGTGGCTATAGGATGTTGGGATGCAGGGCTGTGTGGGCCTGAGTGCAGGCGGCTGTCAGTGGAGCAAGTGGGATCGTGCCAGTGTCTGCAGGAGCCTGTCTGGATATGTCAGACCCTAACCCAGACCCTGGGCTAACATGCACCAGAAACCTGCCATGAAGGAAGGCATGAGCATCACTGGGAGGGGACGCAGAGCAGGATGTCCTGTGCTGGGACTGCCTGCAGTCCGACAGACGCGGGCGCTCCGTGTGCCATTTCAGGAGAATATCCTGAAACAGGGCTTCGTTTTCCCAATACAGCCCTCCAGCCTCAGCAGTTCTTCACCACAGACCGAGAGTTGACTTTGTGCCATTTGGACCTTTCTCCTCAGCTTTCCTCCATCCATTTCAGAGCCAGTTCGCAGCTCGTCCTCCCACTTCCCAGTGACACACACGCACGGCAGCTCACACAGATGCCACTTTTTCCCCTCTCGGTGTCTGTGGCCGTGGGGAAGGCCGGGCCCTGCTGACACAGCCTGTGCCCCGCAGGGCGCTTCAAAGCACGCAGCCCCGGGCCCCGCTCTCGGGGAGCGTATTTTCGCTATTATTTCAATTATTACAACTTCCTGCAGGGGTGGAAGGTCATTCATAATTCACGCCTCTGTCATCTTTACACATGCCAAATGCAGTCTATTAAGCATAAATAAAATTTCAAGTGCCTGACCAGGAAAAGTAAACTGGGATTCATAACAATGAGGCCTTATTCATCCATTTGAAAGTAAATTGCGTGTGCTGCGTTCTTCCCCTCTCCTTCCCCCTCATGGGCAGCAGTTTGGGAGCTTTGCCTCCCGCTCGGTAGCACACACACAGGGTGGACGCACAAGGCTGCCTCCTCAGACCCCTGAACTCAGAAAGTGCTTCCAGACCTGGATCCGATGCTTCTCTTCCTATATAAACTGCAGTCACACACCAGTGATCCCAGGGCATGTGAAAAGCGCGTCTGGACTTGGCCTTTTTTTTCTTTCTTTTGGTTACATTTCTCCCTTGCATTTCACAGGGCAGGTCGGTGCCTTCTCAGAGAGGGTAGTTCCTATGAGGTTTTAGGTGGGAAGAGTGAAAATAAAGCCTTAAACAATAAGGACATGTGTTGAAATCAGGCTATGCTTACCTGCAGGATCATTTTTTTTTTCCTGATGTTCAGTATGTTTCATTTCTGTGGAAAGCAATTGGATATATAAACTCTTGGAGCAGGTGGGTTTTTTGTATGCACAGGGCTTTGCTATTTTTAGTAATCGTTATAGTTGTTTCTTTAATAATAAGAATGTCAGAATGCCAGAGCTGGAAATCTGAGACTCAGACCTTGTTTTAGTGGGCCTTGAGGTGCCAAATAAAACACTTCACTCATCCTCATCAAAGGAGTTTTGCCCCTCAGTCTCTCTCCCCACAGAGGCTGGCCTGGCAATTTCTGATCAGTTGCTTCATCATCTCTGATATTTCAGTATTTTTGAGTACCAACACAGCCAGGCTGGACAGCTGGCTCCAGAGTTTGCACCCTGTTGAGTGATTCGTCCCATGGCTGCAGGGAAGATGCTGCATCACACCAGGACTTTACAGCTGGATGAGATGCAGCACAGCACAGTGCTGGACAAAGAAGACCCTCCTTGTTGGTCCATGCGTCCTTACCTTGCAACAAGAGGTGAAGAGATCAGTCAGAGTGCTCTGGATGGGACAGCAAGAGCACTGGAGGAAAAATACCGGGGAGGGTCACTCTGGTTTCTGTTAATGACTTTGTGCGGATGCACTGCTGACCTCAGAAAAAAGGTGTTGCTTGAAGCACATGTTCTCTGCAGCACTGACATCAACAAGGAGCTGCAGGACCGTGAGTGTGAGCATCACCTGTGTCCTCTTTTGTGTGATCTCAAAGAACATTAACTAGACACCGTCGGCATTATTTTTGCTCAAGACTTAGTGGCAGGGTGCTGAATGCTCTGATTTGGTTCTGTGTCCACGTAAATTAGTGAAAAACAAGATTAATGCAAGGGGAATGCCCCGAGTCTGCAAACACAGCACTGTTGACCTCGGAACCACGCTCCTGATTTTTAGGAAGCTGAGCTGGGATAAGTCTGCAGTGCCCCAGCAGTGCTGCTGCTGTCAATGAGGGCTGCAGGGTGCTGGGGCTTGCAGCACCGGGGGCTGGTGTGTCACATTTCAGAGTCTAATCAGCTTTCAGAAAGGAAGCTGAAAAGTTGACAAAAAATGGTGTTGTTTGTTGCTGAGGGAAGCCCATTGTTTTCTAAGGGGAAACAGAACTAGAGAATGAACCATGCAGCTTGTGTACAATTATCTGACTGACAAGGGGAAAAAAGAGCCCAAGCAAGCCCTTCTGACAGCTGGGCAAGACAATGTGGAAGAAGAGGAACATCCTTAGGAGGAGAGGTTGCATGTGAATGCCTGCTCCTGTCTTTTTGGAGTGATACTCCCTGTAAGCAGGAGGCTACAGTGCAAGTTTGTTGTGCCTGACATGGGATATTGAGTGGTGGGACACAATGACTCCAGCAGTCTCTAGGCTAGCATCTGCCAGAGCAGCTTTTGGGGCAAGGCAAAGAAAAGAAAACAAATCAGAGAGGAAATGCGTCTTCTTTAGTTAGTTTTAGGCAGTTAGCACATATCTATGGGCTGGGGCTGCCTGTGCAGCAATAACCATTAGGCTGTACAGCCACCTCCTGGAGGCCCTGGGTAGCTGCTCTGTGCTGCGTAGAGCTGGGTGATGTGCTGTGCAGGGGGAATATGCCGTGCAGGGGGAGTATGCTGTGCAATAGGCTGTGCAAGGGAGGTACGCTGTGTGAGATAGTCTGTGCAAGAGGGTTACCTGCATCTGGCCTGTGGCAAAACAGCTGTTGACTTTTTGCCTTTCTCTCACAGCACTAGAATGGGTCTTGAGAGTTAGTAGTTTGAGGGTAAAACCTTTAAAAATACACTAGACAGAGGGAATGCAAATACGTCTTTTGTTAGGGTAGGAAACAGCTTTCGTGTGTTTTTGTTTAACAAGGCCTGAGAAAGTTACTAATATTTATTTGAATGGCTTCTTGGAGATTTTTAGTGTTCCTTATGTTTTCTCCTGAGAGAAAAAGCAGCCAGATGGATTTTTTAGGAGCTTCCTTCTGGCAGAGCCTGGCAGCAAGGCATGATCTTGCTGTGGGTGTGTGGTACCAAGGGTGCATGGCCCCTGCCTCTCTGCTGGACTCCTTCCCAGTGACAGGAATGGGGCCCATGGAGAGAGGAGCAGCTGCCACCTGTGGCTGAGGCTGCTGACAAGCATCTGTGCATATCTTCATCCTGGATAAGTTGTTCCTTTGGTTTCCATTTGAAACTTAAGAGCAAAGAAGCATGCTGTATTGTACAAGCCCCATCCCTTGTTACTGGCTGAGCTACCTAAGTAATAGAAGCAGGTGGGGTTGGATGCCCACACGCTGATCAGCAGAATTTCCTCAGGTGTGATTTAATTACTTTCTTCAGTGCAACCAAGAGGAGAAATGTTCTTTATGTTGCTCACTCAGGGACATGTTTTATGGGCACCTTGGCTGGTAAGTTTAGTATAATTGAGCATGTGAATTGCTGGTGATGTTTGCAGTCATCATGCAGCTTGCTTGCAGCAGAGGCTGTTGAAAGCAACTTCCTCTTTATCTTCAAGATAAGGCAGAAACAGCTCTGGGGCTGAAAGAGCCTACCTGCACAGCCCAGGCTGCCCATCCCCAGCACTTTGCAGCCCCTGTGCCAGGGGTTGGTTGGGCACTCAGTGTCAGCTCTGCAGCACTAACTGCCTCTTTGCCTTTCATGGTATTCACCTCGCTTTCTCTTTTTCAGATATTCTACAGAGTAGTGGCAGACATTGAGCCAGGAGAGGAGCTATTACTGTTCATGAAGAGTGAAGATTATTCACATGAAACAATGGCTCCGGACATTCATGGTTAGCCACTTCTTATCTAATATGAAATACCATTGAAATTAAGCAAAAATGTAGCAAGATTTCTTCTCTGTTGCAATACCTTTGAATTCCAGAATAGCCTGCCAGCAGCTGAAGAGGACAGCTGGACCATGATTGCATTTATTTACCACCTGCCCTTAGCAGACCTGCCAGTCTGCTAAGCTCTACTTTTCAACGATGACTTTTCTCAGCATTGCAATCCTGCACCTCTTGATGTTTTTCAGTCCTCATATACTCAAACCTCCATGGCAGAAATGGGGTTTGCAGATGTAACTGAAGGCAGCAGTAAGGCTTTGGAATTGAAACTTAATCTGGTTTTGGGTATTGCAAGAGGAGGAATGGAATCCATGTCATTATCTCCAGGCTGTGCTGGTCCTTCAAGACTAAAATGTATGGACCCCAATTAGAATCTGGTTTTGGTTGGTTGTGGGTTTTTTGATGTTTATGTTGTAGTTTTGTCAAAAAACTATTCTTTTAAAAAGAGAAAATCTCAGGTTGTTAATGTTGCTGTCACTTTTGAGAGCGCAGCCAACCCTCCTCCTCGTGCTCGTTCATTATTCAGGCAGCACACAGGTGTTGCATCTTCAGTTCCTGAGCTGTGCCCACAACAGGGCATGTGGCTGCCCATGTGGGCCGTCAGTAGAAAATCCTACAGAGCACTGTGAGCTGCTTTTCTTCACCTCTTCATTTTGGGATTTTCTTCAGTGAATTAATTATTTGGTAAGAGCTAATAATTAATGGAATGAAATATTCACCCCTAAGTAGTACTCCAGTGATCTTCGTTTTCAGTGAGAAAAACTTTGTGACTGTTTTATTGGATATCTGGCTCACCTTGGGTGCTGGAAGAGAGCTCTAATGGAAGTAGAAAGATTTCTACCAACCGTAAATGCCTTTCTGGCTATTGCAGTAGCTGATGTTTGTGTAAGTTTGCTTCATTCAGGAAGTCAGAGACTGTCAGCCTCTTGTAGATATCCGCCTCAGGACATGGATATCTCCTTTTAAAGTAATTTGAAACATGCTGACTTCTGTCCCAAGCTAACATTAGGGATTCTCCCATAGGATGTATCACCCAGGCAGTTAACAGGTAACACTGCGTTTATATATTACAGAATTGAAGTATTAGCATCATAAAGCATATTTTTTATTATTATTACCAATAATATTTTTCACAGAATAACTCTTTATTTAACTATACAGTCGTGGAACTGCTGAGAGTAACTAAAAATGACCCCAAACTGGTGTTACCTCCCTATGCCAACCCTTTTTCTTGCAGAGGAGCGCCAGTATCGCTGTGAGGATTGCGACCAGCTCTTTGAGTCCAAGGCTGAGCTGGTGGACCACCAGAAGTTCCCCTGCAGCACACCACACTCCGCCTTCTCCATGGTGGAGGAGGACTTCCAGAAAAAGCTTGAGAATGAGAGTGACCTTCGGGATGTGCACGAAATCCAGGAGTGTAAAGAGTGTGATCAAGTCTTCCCAGACTTACAAAGGTAGGATTAAGTGCTTAGAACGTGACTGAGTAAAGCAAATCCTCTAATGGCTTCAGTCAAATCACAGGGCATCAGGCAGGGCAGAATTGGGTATCTTGTGTACAAACTAATAGTAAAGGTAAATAAGTTTCTGTGCTCATTGGTTTTAGAGCATGGAAATAATGGTGTCTTGATAGATCAGAAATTAACCCCTAATAGATACCTTAAATTAAGAACTGGATCTTCTGATAATAGCATGTTTAGTTGGATTGAGTAGGGCTGGTGGCAGTGAAGTCAGAGGAGTCATTATGGTTCAAATGAATTGAGGTCTGGTCTCCTTATTTTTAGGTAGGGATAAATTAGAGTACCTCTGAGTGGTGTTCATTTATCGTTGCAAACAAGGCATGGTAGGCAGAAGCAAGTTGGTTAGATTGTGTTCAAGATATTAACATATGTGAACATACGTATATGTAGACATACACGTGTGTATACACAGCTCTTCTGTTTTGAAACACTGGGATTCATTGTTTTCTTGTATATTCCTGTTTGTTTAAACAGGCAGACCTATATGCCTACATCCCCAACATATGTATAGGTAGGAATGTGAATAAAAAGTTCAGCTTTATATGCTGAAGACGATTCCCATCACTGTAGTTCTTTTGTGGCTGCTTATAATGTATCACATTGTAGGAAAGTTTGCAAATTACTGAAAGCTATTAGGAGTGCTCAGGAGCTTCTGTAGTACGTTGCTCACAAATTCATGTTTTGGTAAGTTCAGTCTGAGGATGCAGGAAGGTTGACCTCAGCCAACATATAGCAGTTGTGCTGAGCTATCTTAATAGGCAGATCCTGGATGAGATCCCAGCTGTGAGGATGCAGTGTCACACAACTGCTTGTTACAGTTCCACAGAGTGAATGATAACAAAATGAAAGCACAGTGTACCAAACACTGCTCTTGTGCATCAGCCCTGTGTTTGTGCAGATACAGTGTTATCTTCATTGGCTGCTTGGGCTGTATTCAGTTCCACATGTCTAATTTTCAGTCTGAGTGACTGATTCGGGTCAGTAGATGAAGCCAGAAGAGCTGCAGCAGTGGTGGGTGCAGCATAGGTTGGGACTGTGACATCTTTCCACTCTGTGAGCTATTTGGTGTTGAAGTTCTTTTCTGCCTGTGAACCAGAGGACAATATCAAACATATGGGAATCATTGAGCAAATGTAAATTTAGCTTAAAATATTAAATATTGAAGAGAAAGGGCAGAAAACAAAGAACGAGTCATCATAAATAGATGGGCAGTACTGTGAGAAAGTGAAAAATGAGAAAGAATGCAGTCATTCTCCAAACTCTTGAATTATTGAGAAGCTAATACACCACAAAGACAGTTCACAGCAAAAAAAAAAGTACAGAAGCATGTTATGTAGGGATTATATAAAACAAAAGGCTCGAATGAGCTGTGCTTGAGGGTGTGTGTAATTAAATTGAGAAAGAGCTGAGTGTGAAGATTGAGGTCTGTGGGTGGTGCAGCCACATCAGGTGCCTGGGTGCCTCTCTAGGTCTTACGGCAGGTTTGTTTACCAGGGCATGATGGAGATACAGCTGTTAGCTGAGTGCTAGGAAGTGAAGCAGGAAATATTTTTCCCTGAAGGAGAAAGCCTAACAGGGGTAGAACTTAGGAGCATCAGCAGGATGAAAGAATTTCTGTTGCTTGTAGCTGAGCGTGCAAGTTGCCATTTGGACTACGCAACAGAGGGCAAACTGTAAACCCCTCAGGTTTTGTCTACAGATCCAGCAGAGATCAGTGGGAACGTTGACAAGGAAGCACTGATCTGTGTTGGCTGGAAACCCTTTTCCAATGGCATTTCTGTGAATCCCCATCTATGTTATATATGGATCTCTCTGCAAGCAATAGCGTGAGCTGTGGCTTGATATATGAGCAATGTATTCAAACATATATTTGCAGCTGATTAATTCTAAAAGAGGAATTCAGAAAGCTCAGAGGTGAAAAAGAATTCAAAGATGAACAGCAGAAATTAGGTGAGGATTGAGTATGCTACTAATAGACTGAACCAACTGCTAAGAAATGAATGAATAAACAAGTAGAATTGAACGCACTTAATAATCATCAAATATAACTTTGCATTAAGTGTTCTCCATTCAGAAGCTTTGCTCTGTTCACTTACGCTCCTTGTGTTTCACTAGTGGAGTTATTTCTGATCTACCCCTGCTGCAAGAAAAATAGACTCCCATCAAAGGAGTGAGGCTCCATCAGATAGTAGGTTCCTAGGTGTGTTTGGAGTGAAAGCAATAAGGCAGAAACGATTCAGACTGCAGGGAGGAATTACCGGGGTGAAATATTGAGAGGTGTATGAAATAATCTCCTTTGGGAGTGATGGAAGCATAATCTTCTGGAGCTTTTGCAAGTGGCCTGGCGAAACATCAGACAGTGTTACTGTGGGGTGGAGGGGATGCTCTGCCTCCCAGTGTGGTGTGCCTGGGGCTCAAAGGACCTGGGTTTGTCAGGAGTGGGCCTTTGGGGCTTGGTTTTTTTTCTCTTTTTGTTGTTGTTTGGAGGTTATGCGCTCTGCTGCCTCCTCTTCTTGCTCTGATGTGCTGCTCATTCCTGTTTCTGCAGTCTGGAGAAGCACATGCTGTCCCACAGCGAGGAGCGGGAGTACAAATGTGACCAGTGCCCCAAAGCTTTCAACTGGAAGTCCAACTTGATACGTCACCAAATGTCGCATGACAGCGGCAAGCACTACGAGTGTGAGAACTGTGCCAAGGTACAGTGAATTTGTAGGCTGTTTCTGTGGCACTGAGCACATGGGGGCAGCTGAGGGTGGGATATGTGAGGGCATAGAGCTTCTGCAGTGCCTGTTTCTTAAGGATTTAAACCTTCAGTTTGTATATGTTAGCTTTCTACCCCGTTTGATTTAGAAAGATGCTGCTGCAATAGAAAGCAAGATAAGAAAATAATGCCAGGTTCTGGTTGTTCTAAGTGAGTGCAACCATCTCATCTCCAGAGCATCTGCTTTACCTCCCAGCACTGGGCTTGCTACCTAGATTATTGGTAGAAGATGTGGTGCTCTGTGTTTCTTTTCACAAGATTCTTAAAGTCTGGGCCTTTTACATAAGGGCTTTGTTGTTTTTAAGTAGATTTGCTGCAATAATGGAGATTTTACATTGACCTGATACTCAAAAGATGCAGCCAAGCCCTAGCTTTCATGCTGCCATGCACTCCGCCAAGCATTTCTATTGCAGTCGTGTTTAGAGGTTTCAGATAGCTATGTTTTGACTTTCTGTGAGGATGCCAAGCAGGAAATCACTGGCCTCAAAGGCATGACTTCCAATTGCAGGGGTAATTGCATCTGCTGTGGTGGTTGCAAAGGGGTTAACCGCTCCACCAAATATTTGGCTGACCCTGGAAAAACGAGGCCCCATCTTGTAGGCACAGCTCCCATTGATGCCCTTTGGCCAGGCTGCAGTGCAACAAGCAGCTGCTGGTTTTAGTCCTACAAATCTCCCAGTGGTTCTGGATTTTGTGCTAAGTGGCTTCTTCCGCAGTTAAGTTTCTTGGTTAATCAGTACTCATTTCCTAGCAGGTTTTCACGGACCCCAGCAACCTCCAGAGGCACATTCGTTCCCAGCATGTTGGGGCTCGTGCTCACGCTTGTCCAGAGTGTGGCAAAACCTTTGCCACATCTTCAGGCCTCAAACAGCATAAACACATCCACAGCAGTGTCAAACCCTTTATATGTAAGTCTTCCACTAAGCGTCTTCGGTTAAGTGTGTTTTTTTTTTTTTTGGTCGAAAAACAGTGTAACCTGCGAGCAGGAGGTTGTGTTGTGCTTCCTTGGCATTTCCCACAGGTTTCATGGGGGCTGTGAGTTACTGAATGAGAACTGAGTAATTCACAGTCTGATGCAAAGCATTATTTTCATATGATTTTCCTTTCCAGGCAGACACTGCATGCTGTATAAATGTACCTTTTGTCCCTGGGATATTTTTCCATGCATAGATGCAAAGAGCAAGTGGGGAGGGAGTTTTGGCAAGGAGGAGCTGTGCTTTGCACCGTGCTGAGCTGGCTGCTCTCTGTGCTCCTTTGCAGCAGCACCAGCCCCTGTGCTGCAGGCGGTGCTGGACCCAGATGCATGGGGCATTAGGCAGAGCCAGCAGGACCGGAAAGGCTGCTTTGCTTTAGAAATTAATTAATTTGGGGCCACTGAATCTCAACAGCAGATAGCATGGCTTTGGTGGGAATTGGAAAGAAAACCTTAAAGCCAGTGTATTTCAGCCAGAGGAGCTTGCCTCGCTCCTCGAAGCTCTTTTGCATGCCCTGAAGTTAAGTATTGGGTTTAGCTATAAGAGCTTTGCCAGCAGCTGCTCCAGCAATAAAACTTGCCTCCCATGTGGGCCTGACTACACTGGGCTATAAATCAGGTCCTCAGAGTCCTCCCAGGCGTTATGTTTGCTACTTGGCCAGATTCTGTTATGAGATGGAGAAATCTGGGTGCACAGTAGTGTTGCAAGTTGCTTTCTCTTCCTTTCACCAGGAAAGGAGACGCAGAAAATATTTCAAGAGTACTGTTCTGGCAAGTGCTAATCTCCACAATGGTCTTCTCAGGCACCTGTTATGGCTCAGAAAGCACTTTATGACCTCCTCTCTTTGTTTTCTAAACTTCAACTTTTGCTATTCTCAACAAGAATTTACCAAAATGTCACCTTGATACTTTTTTCCAGCTGACTGTATTTTCTGTACTCGTAATGCACTCTAAGTCTGACAGAGGTGGCACCTCACCCAGGTGAGTTGTAGCAGCAGAGGACAGCAAGGCTGGAGTTCTACCTCACACTGCATGGTCCCACTCAATGGAGTGGGCACCTGTAGCTTATGCATTTAGCTCCTCAGTGAAAACACCTGCTTAGGAGCTCTACAATGCTGCTTTGACATGTGCTTTGAGTCTTATAAAACCTCAGTGCATGGCTTGAAAGAGTCGTTTGTGGGAAGCCTGTATATCTGCCAGTGAGTTAGATAATCTTTTTGTTTGGTCTTCTTCAGTAAGAAAGTGTATAACTAACTAAGTCTAATAATAAATGTCACTAAAAAATTCTTTTATCTAGGATTACAGGTTAAATAATTGCATTTTACATTAATAACTATTAGACCACATTAACTTCTGGCCCATGGATGAAACCTTCGGCTTGTCCTCTTGCAGTCCATGCCCTACAAAGAAGTGTAAAAGTGGTGCCTATCTTAAATGAAATAATTCCTAACTTGTTTTTTTTGTGGTTGTTGTTACTGTTTACTCTGATAAATCAAACCAGCAACCAGTATTCTTGAAATGCACAGAATGAGAGATGAAAACCCACTGAGCAATCTCTGAATAATAGCCATGTAATTACAGAACAAAAGGGTTTGGAGACCACATGTTCAGTGGGCTTTGCTGAGCAATGGGAGGGAGGTAGGGTAGGGTCACCTCAAGGAGATATCTGTTTTCCACCAGGAGGCCACACACCATGATTTACTCTACCAGTCTGTTTATGGCAACTGTCTCTTATTACAGTGCACCGCCCAAGCTTGAGTGAAAACTCACCAACACTAAGGTAATTACTCACTGCCTTTGCAGAATGTCCAGCCTCTCCAAATAGAAACCACATGCCATAATAGGTCAAATGCACTCAAAATAGTACTTACAGTCATTTTTTTTTAATAAGCAGAAAATATGCAAACTTAACTGCTAGCTAATTCGGGTTCCAGAGACGATTGCAGTGCAGAGGGTGCTTTAGCATATGATTTTTTTCACTTTCGGACACAGGCTGGGAGTTTGTGTTAAACCTGGGTCTGTGCAGCAATAAAAGCTGCGAGGAGGGAAGCTTCCCTTACAAGTTAGTTGCTTAAAAGTACGGTGCTAAGATTTAAAGGATGTAATAAGGTGTAACAGGAGAAATCAAACCCAGCTTCTGTTGCTTTGATATGTGGAAGCAATTAAAGTTGATAACCGTCCCCCATCTACTAAATTTTAAGCAAAGCTTTGCTTGGGAATAAAAGTCATGTGGTGAAAAAGAGGGTCTTGTAACAGGGACTTGCCTGGGCAGTTCTGGCTCCTCACGCTTAGTAGAAGTCAAGGCAGTATGGTTGAGTTGCACCCTTCATCTGCAGAACCAGCAGCTTCTGCCGCATCCCACCTGACTTCCCCAAGGTAGTTCCCAAGAGTAAGGTACCTCTGTAGGGAAAGAACTTTGGGCCTGGCTCCGAAACTTCTTGGTCAACCTTGAAAGCCCACTTTTTAATAGACTGTTAAATGGAAGAGACCTCCCTTCAAATAGTTTTAAATAACTGGTGGGCTCAAAGAGGTGAACTCCTCAGTACAGCTGTTAATTGTTTGATCAAGATGATAGTAAAGATTTCCATATTTTAATGTTATTGCCATTATCAATTTAATTTCAAAGCTAAGATCAAATATATTAGCTAAGTGGTTAATTTGCATCCCCCTTTAACAGTCTGTAAGGATCTCTCTCAATTCTTAGTATGTAATTTTGCGTTTCTGCAGAAGTAGAATATTTCCTGGTTTCTTTGACTTTTAATGGAGGATAATAAGTTTTAATGGAGAGTAATAATTGCTAATTATTCATGTTCCTTAAAAGAGAACGTTCTGAACTTCTAGGAAGACCAGATCTGTGCCAGC